CTTGTTCTAAGTAGGTGCTTTAGACCACTGAGCCATCTCACCAGACCTACACATGAGTTTTTAATGGGTCGATGTCAGCCAACTTGTAAGCAGTGCCAAAATATGAACCCAGAGGTTACTTAAGACTACTCTTTATTTACTCAATCATAAAATTCATTATTCTAGCTGTTCCTTAAACATACACAGGATGCAGATTGTTATGATAATATTGGGAGAAAGACTGCTGAGTGAATATGGAAAAGATGTTATAATGTGATCAGCTGTTCTTTTTAATTTTTATTTACTTGTTGCAAGGCTGGGGATTAAAAATATTTTTAAAAATTGCTTCTTTTAAAAGGCCCTTTTATTGATAATATTTTGTTTGTCTTAAGTAGGTATCAGCGTCTACTGCTAAGAATATAAAAGAAGGAAAGTAACAACAAAAGAGGGAAAAGCAGGCTGGGGATGTAGCTCAGCAGCAGAGTGTGTTTCTAGCTGCTAGAGGCTCTGAGTTTAAGCCCTAGAATCATCATCAAAAAAAGGGGTGGGGAGTAATTAGTAGGCCTTTTCCGACAGAATTTGACTACAAATAAAGTCTCTTATAACTATCCTCCAACGACATAGGTAGGCAGATGCTTCTATTCCCACCAGCCCCTAAAATGGTTCAAATAAAAAGATCTCACAAACACCAGATTGTAAAGTCATGTTAAGTGATATCTAATTGCTTATAATGGGCACAGAATGAAAAATCCATCTGACAGTATTTCAGAGTTTCACTACCAGTATTATAAAATAAATACTAACTCCAGCATTTTTTAAAAGAAAGGGGAGTCTCCCCTGTAGAAGGACTGACAAACCCCTCTACAGTTCCCTCCCTAACAATTTATAGTGTATCTTAAACTATTATCTCTTCTGTGGTGTTTACCACAGACATCTTCCTTTTCCATCTTCTACTCTTCCCAAACACAAACAAAAGGGCTCTTTCCCAGCAAATGTAATTCTTTAAAGAACTAATCAATATTGCAGTGTAATTATCTTCTCCTCAGGATGATGAATTCCCAGAAGTCCAGCACCCAATGTTACTCTTCTTTATATTTCCAATTGCTAATGTTCCAACTTAGCACTACTGACAATACTTGGGAAAGATTTGCTGAGCGAATAGAGAAAGAAGCTAAAGATGGCAAAATATGGAGTGATCTTTATAAGAAGGAATTCTTTTATCAGTAAAAAAACCTCTTTAGCTTCTGCAATGTCAGTTTTACCCACAAGTTTCTCTTTAAGAATTTTCTCATCAGCCAGTAGTTCAAGCTAAATGACAACATGGACTATAGTTTCTGGAGGGATGAAGAAAAGAATCTAGTTATTTCGGTTTACAATAGTTACTAATGAAGTTTACTGAAATTAGTTTAAAGGATCTGGAAGATGGTAAGCCTTTCAAGAGCTTTTATTCAGAAAGCAAGATTCAGGATGGTGTTTGAAATGCTTGCTTCTTACATTTAAATGCTGAAGACAATTAGGAAAATAATTTCATTTTTTTTTT